ATGTGAGATCTAGATAATTTATTTCAGGTCACATGTGATCAGTTTTTAGCCTTTTAGGGAAGTATGCATAATGTTTCTTAGATTCTTGTCGGATATAGGTATTGTGGTAAATCCAGGATCGCATATGATTTTTTAATTGTTGTTCTTTAGAAGGCAATAAACTGGTAATGGGAAATAATGAAAGTGGTTAAGGAGTATGGTGTTAGTTAAGGAGTATGTTATGCATTTTGTATCAGCGGGAACGATAAAGTTAATCAGGGTTATTTAAAAATGGTTCCTTACAGGGTATTTCGGGTAATCTTCTGTTCGTTATGTTCGCCTTAGCAAGGCTGGCTCTACCGTCCCTACCTGCCCGCTGGTTATTTGTTAAGTGGCTCAGAGGCTTGGAATAGCGCAATGACCACTGTTGGATTCAACACAGCAAATTTGGTAAGCATGTAAGTTAAGTAATGAACAATATCTAAAATGTGAATACGTGTACATATAGTGATTATGTACAGTGAGATGATCAAGGAAAAGCAATAACTAATAGCTAATCCGAGCATATGCGAGTGTAGGATGATAAGATGAATCGAGTAATAAGAAGGTATACAGCAAAATATTAACTGAATTGATATTTAATGCACGTTGAAGGCAATAATCAGTAATGTAAAATAGGGGACACTGAAAACATGCAAATTAGCGAAATAAGTGCCGGGTAACAACAGTGATAACTCTATACTAACACGTATTAAGAGTACACTAACACTAATAATATAACAAAGCCATTTTAATCAGAGCTATTCTATCTAAGCCATAACGTTAGCAAGGCATCAGTTAAGGTACGGGGCAATTTGATCCGAGTAATCAGAGTCGGTAGATCTTGTAGTCATACTTAGTTGTTATTTTTTGAATTTTATGTTAGTTTTATCGCTTCGTTATTAATGGTTTTTCATAATTGTTTGTTTTCACAGTATACGCATAGGATGACATTATGTTAAATCGATATGGTGTTACGAAAGTGATTAAATGAAAACAGTGACTAAAATTTAATGTAGAATTTGACAGAATAAAGAGCTTAAAAGCATGCATTTATTTATCTATTCTTAGTAATTCATTTGTATGTAGAACAGTAAAAAAAGATCAGATTTTTATTAAATAAGTTAAATAAAAATACGATTTGTTAACAATTTAAACTAAGATGTGGATGAATTAGGGGTGTCGTTATTTTGGTTGCTTAATGCGGTTTTCGCAAGATCAGTAACCTTTAGACGTTCTTTTGATCTAAAATACGGTTTCATAGTGGCTTTCTTTTTTCTTCTACCGCCTCTTAATCTCGTGGCAATGGTTCGTATTGTACTTTCGGTACATGATTCTTCACTTAGAGGTTCATCTTGGACCGCAGTTTCAGCACTTGACTCATTAGTTAAAGGTTCGCTTTGGACTGTAGTTTCAGCACCTGATTTATTGGTTGGAGTTTCATTGAGGAGCGTACTTACTCTATTGGCTGGAACTTGATTTAGAAACGCAGGCTTATTGTTTGATTTATTGGTTGGAGTTTCATTTAACCAAGGAAGATTATTCGGGGTTTTCAAATTAACACCTAATTAGGTAAAAAAAAGGATTGACAAAAAAAAATTAAAAAGTTAATTAAGTTATAAAAACTGAACAGTAATTAAGTGAAAGAAATTCTCCACAAATATTTTAACAGCATATTATTAGAACCAAGTACACAATAAAAAAAAAATAAAATGCATAAAGTTAATTTTTCGTTTCGTATGACATGGAATCAGAAAAATTGGGTGGTCCGTCGGATTTTTTTTTTTTTTTAATTTATTGTAAATCAATATATTCGTGTTCATATCTAAGGTTATACAAAGATAATTTTTCATTTGCATAGGATGGAATCAGAAAATTGGGTTAGCGCAGAGATTTTTTTTTAAAGAATTACGGAAAATCAAGTCTCTATCGCGTGATATTGGATAAAATCGATAGAAAAATTAAATGACAAAAATAGAATAATTGGCGCAATTGGAACTTATTTAAAAAAAAAAAAATAATAAATTTTTGAAAAATTGAAAAAATGGGTCGGCGGGTTACGCAAAACGAAAAATTATTTTGCGCAGCCAAAAAAATGAAAAAAAAAAATAATACCAGATTTTTGAGATTCGGCAAAGCTTATAGTAGGGAGATGAACGATATAATTATCACGAATCATTATCAACGTTAATTCACCGCTAATAAAGAGAACGGATCCTACTTTAACAGAAGAGGTAGTAGGAGCAAGGTGTTGGGCAGACTTCAGGTGGCAACATTCCAATTTTTGAGTTACATAATCCTGATCTACATAATCTTTTGTTTCTACGGTCAAAACGATATTATCAGATTCAATTTGAGGAAGTTCAACCGCAACGGCCGTCATATTTATCAGGATAGGAAATATCAGCAAATTGCTTGGATCAATAGCAAGGTGAACGACTTCAGACAATATAACCTAAAACACAACAGAAGGAAGCTTTATGATATATTGCGATGATAAAGTTGTATTTTAGGATTTACCTTTAACACGGGATATTTTTTTCCATCTTCATCCATATTTTTAATAATCCGAAATTTACCAGTCACCAGAAGTACATCCTCAGTTGCGAACGATGCCAAAACGGATTCTTGTGTTTTATTTTGTGGGTAAAAGCCCACCAAAAGAAGGTTTAATGCCGAGTCTTTACCTCTAGAATGCATCACCCCAGCAGCTTTAACAATATTGAGAGTCTTATTTGTGATGAACTCCTGTCGATCAGTAATATAACACACCATCATTATCGTTGATGGCATTTTTTTTTTTTTTAAAAAAAAAAAAAGAAAATGAAGTCAAAAATATCTTAATTTTTTTTTTTTTTTATTTAAAAAAAAAAAAAAAAAAGCAAAGCTAAAAGGTAGCTTAACCTTTTTAAAAAGCGAAGCCAAAAGGTAAATCTTTTTTTTTTATTTATTTAAAAAAAGCAAACCAAAAGATAGGTTATTTAAAATTTTAATAAAACCACATTTTTTTTTTATTATTATATATTTTAGTCAGGTCTGTATATTTCAGGTTATCAACGGATTTACAATCTTTTTATCCGCGTCATTACAATCTTTTTGATCATCGATATCATGTTTTTAAGAATAAAATATTACGTCTTCATGTGGTAACCAAGATCGGAACTCGTATTTCAATGTACGCGTACTTGTGTTTACCTGTTCACCGCTTGCAACAATATCCATCGATATGCACATCGCAAATAATATGAAATCACATGAGCATGCACATGCCACATATTTTTGATGCATAATCAATTTTTTTTTTTCTTTACTGAATTTTCTCAAAAAAAGACAAAAAAATTAATAAATCGTTTCGCCGAGAAGCCTTCGATGCTATCGAGATTATCAAATAATCAGACCAATAAAAAATCTGAAACAAAAAAAAAGAAATCAACAAAAGCAAGAAATTTAGATTAATAAAATAACATTAACTTTAAAGTAAATACGAAAATGACCATAATTTAAAAAAGCATCAGCTAGAAGCTACTAATTTGAAACTGTGTCAGAAGCTACTAGCTAGTGGCCACTAGCTAGAGGCCACTTGCAAGAGGCCACTAGCTAGAAGCCACTAGCTAGTAAGCACTAGTTATAAAAAAGCCGAATGCAAATTTCCTTTTTTAGGTATTGCGAGGAAATTGTTTTGACGATCATCTGTACGAAGATAACATGAAACAAAATAAATAGTTGTAACACTAATCATACGGGGTAAAAAGTATTTACACTGCATGATCATACATAGCAAATTTATTACACTGCATGACCACATATGGCAAAGGACACTCGGTAAAATTTAGAGGGGGGTAATTAGGCAAACAATGTATTGATTCAGATGATTCAGATGAAGAGATCAAACAGCAATTTTTAGACGCTGATAAATTAAT